TTGTGATCATTTAAAGCCTCGATATCTAATTTGGGACGTTTCGAAAGTGACTTTCCGTTTCTTTTCTTCCTCATATGCCAAATCTTCGGGTCTATTACCATAGAGCAATCTATAATTTTATGGTCAGAGTTAAATAAAACCTGATAATGAACTTTAATATTTTTTATCCAGCTCATAGTCGACCTATTACAAATAAAATAGTCTATTTGAGACCAAGTATTGTATGTTGGGCTAAAATATGTGTATATCTCTCTTTTATCCGAATGTTCGAAGAAAGTATTAGCTATACGAAGATCTAACTTATGACAGAGTTTTAATAGTAGTTTTTCTCCAATATCGGATTTAATATTTAGTGTTCCTGAACCAAGGGAAATATGATTCTTTATATCGATTTTTCCTACTTTCGCATTAAAATCCCCAGCAATTAGTAAGTTTTCGCGTTTCGGAAATTTATTTAGATATTCGTCAAGAAAAATGAAGAATAGTTGTTTTTCAGTATAGTTCACTGGTATATAGATATTTACAATATTTAAGGTTTTACATCTCGTATTTACTTTTATGCTACATACCCTACTATTTACGCCGTCGAATTTTGAGATGTAGCCCGATAGATTCTTTTTGATCAATATACATACTCCACACCAGTTTTTTTCAGTTTCGCCCGAATTAAAGAGTAAGTAACCTTTGCAATTAATTTTACAAGTATCAATCCAATGTGTTTCTTGTATACAAGCAATGTCGACCGCTAGGGTGTCTAATATTATTCTTAGTTGGGCAAATTTATTATTATTTAGGGATCTAGCATTTAGGGATATAATTCTTAGAGAACCAGAAAAATTGTTCATTGTAATGTTAGTAATTAAAAAATTAGAGCAATGATTTATATTACCAGATTAAAAATTTATTTAACGATTTATAAAAAAAGATATCGGACAATATATGTTATCAAAATTACACTATATAAAATAAAGTTTTTCTGACAATTTATTTAACGATTTATAAAACTTGATTTCGACAAAAAAATTTTTTTTTTTTTTTTTTTTTTTTAGACAACTTATATCACTATTTATCAAGGCAATTTTTTTGATAGCTTATTACTACAATTATATAGATTTTTTATCAAGATTTCTCTATAAAAAAAATGGAATTTGAATTATCATAACAATTTCCGACAGCTACAACGATATAATATTTCCAAGAATTTTCCCTTGTAAAATTAATTGCAAAAGTTACTTACTCTTTAATTCGGGCGAAACTGAAAAAAACTGGTGTGGAGTATGTATATTGATCAAAAAGAATCTATCGGGCTACATCTCAAAATTCGACGGCGTAAATAGTAGGGTATGTAGCATAAAAGTAAATACGAGATGTAAAACCTTAAATATTGTAAATATCTATATACCAGTGAACTATACTGAAAAACAACTATTCTTCATTTTTCTTGACGAATATCTAAATAAATTTCCGAAACGCGAAAACTTACTAATTGCTGGGGATTTTAATGCGAAAGTAGGAAAAATCGATATAAAGAATCATATTTCCCTTGGTTCAGGAACACTAAATATTAAATCCGATATTGGAGGAAAACTACTATTAAAACTCTGTCATAAGTTAGATCTTCGTATAGCTAATACTTTCTTCGAACATTCGGATAAAAGAGAGATATACACATATTTTAGCCCAACATACAATACTTGGTCTCAAATAGACTATTTAATTTGTAATAGGTCGACTATGAGCTGGATAAAAAATATTAAAGTTCATTATCAGGTTTTATTTAACTCTGACCATAAAATTATAGATTGCTCTATGGTAATAGACCTGAAGATTTGGCATATGAGGAAGAAAAGAAACGGAAAGTCACTTTCGAAACGTCCCAAATTAGATATCGAGGCTTTAAATGATCACAATATCAAAACTGAATATATAGAACAAATCAGAAATAATTCTCATAAATTTATCAATCATACTAACAACTTATCCTCGGACACACTATGGGAAAATACTCGTGACATTTTCAACAATGCGGCATCAAATTCCTTACCAGCCAAGATGAATTATCCGGACTGGATCTCAATAGAATCAAAAAATCTTATTTCAAATATAGTGGGGAGTGGTCATTATAGGAGAAACAGAGCCATGTATATCCTAAACGATATTAGTCATAAACTCAGAAGAGATAAGAGGAAATTCCTTGAGGATCGTGCCACTGAGATAAGTAATTCGTTCAGTGCAAATGATTCATATAAAGCTTTTAAATTATTGAAATCCTTCACTTCCTTCAAAAAAGAGCAATTTTTTAAACTTAGTCACAATGCAAAAGAAATCACAGATCCAGAGATACAAATGGAAATATGGGTTTCACATTACTCTAAAATATTTAATAGCAACGAACCCTCCTCTACATCAAATAATTGCAACGAACCCTCCTCTACATCAAATAACCAAATAGTAATATCTCCCATTGATCAATGTCCATCTACCTCAAGTTTCTGGCCTCCAAATCCGCTAAACCGTGGACTTCCCCAATTCCTTCCCGCTCAAAATTCTTATATCTCAAATCTTTTATCTAATTCTACATACAACTCAAATTTAGAATCTCCCATTGTCCAAAATGCATCTTCCTCAAACTCCTGGCCTCCTCAGCAGAACCCTACTAAATGGCCTTCGGATCTATGCCCTCAAAACTCCTCTTCTTATAATCTCTTGCCATCTAAATTATTACATTTACCAAACCAAAGTGAGTCTTCCATTCATCATGGTCCATCCACTTCGTACCTCTGGTCCCCACAATTATTTCTCCCTCAAGATAATACCCATAATACTACATCTTTATCTACACATTCTTCCCCCTCTACCTTATTCCAAAATACAGATAGAATCATAGATCCTGTTAAGAGTGAAATAATAAATATAATAAAGAAACTAAAAAATCACAAGGCGTGTGGTCAAGATAATATTCGTAGTGAATATTTAAAAACGGACCCTATATTATCCGCCGATATACTATTCCCTATCATATCGAGAGTATGGAAGGAAGGGATATGCCCTAGTGATTGGCTATCAGCTATACTAATTAATTTTCCAAAAACTAAGTACCCTAAAACTCTAGAGGATTGGAGAGGAATCTCACTAAATTCTATAGTTTATAAGATTTTCACTAACTTAATCCTAAATCGACTCAAACCTTTTATAGAACGAGATTATGTGGATTCAATAGTTTCATTTAGAAAGGGACATAATGCTCTTGAAGCTATTCTCAACTTAAAGATACAAATGGAGAAATCTATAATACGAAAAAGGCAATTAATAATTATTGCTCTTGATTTTAAGAAAGCTTTTGATACGATTAATCATGATAGGTTATGGTTAGCATTAGAAGAAGTTAATACTCCAACTTCATTGGTAAAAATATTAAAAAATATCTATAACGATTACTCGATACAAATTATCCATGCGGGTCATAAATCAACAAAAATACCAGTTAAGATAGGTTTAAAACAGGGATGTGTCCTTTCTCCTCTTCTTTTTAATTTTATTACAAACTATATCATAAAAAGAGTGACTAAACAATGTTTAGCTCAGATTCCCATCGTGAAATTTAATATTCTTGCTTTTGCCGATGATATTTGTATTATAGGAGATTCTATATCACACCTCCAATTGCTAGTGGACATGATGACCCAAGTTGCTGACCTTTTTGGTTTAAAAATAAATATTGATAAAACAAAGTTGATGACATCAATATTCTCCCCTACAAACATAAATCTAACGATACAAGGGTATTTTATAAGTGAATCAGAAATATAACTTTTATTTGATGAGAGTTTATTAAGTTTTTTATTATTTTTATAGAATATGTTAATGAAATATATATTTATAGTATCTTCAATATGAACATAATTGGAATATATATGTGGATCAGTGGTTGGCAAATAACAAAATTCTCAGGCCCAGCCCAGCCAGGAGGGAATTAAGTTTGCTTGGCTTGGGCCATTTTCAATTTTTTACTAAAATTATCTGGCATGGCCCAGTTTTAATATTTTTAAAATAAATACAAGGCCTAAACCAAAAAAATTTGTAAAAGTTAATAACCTTTTAAAATAATAACTATAATTCCAAATTTTTAGAAAAAAAGTGAAATCTATAATTATTTTTATAAAATTATAATATAGCCAAAGGCATAAAATAATGGACCTAAAGATCTCCAATAAAATTTATGATCAGAAAATCTATTAAATAGTGCCCCTTATAGGAAAATTCTAGATATATCTATGCCTAGAAAATAAATGAAATTAAAAATTGAGGCAATAACTAAATTGGGGTAAGATTTGTTTCATATTACTAGATATTCTTGAATAATAAATAAATTAGTAATCTACATAGGGCCTAATTTTTCAAGCCTAGCCTAAAAATTTTTTTTTACAAATTCTAGCCTGACTTAATTTCAAACAATTGTTTTTTTAATTGTACTAAGTACTAAAAACCTGATCCTAAATTAAAATTATTTGACTGTACAACTTAGCCCAAATTTAATATTAAATATAGAAATGATTGATCTTTTAATATTATTTCCCATTTTTACACTAAATAAACAGTTTTTGATCATTATATTAACTAATAAAAAATATCGGCATTTTTTTCTTGCAAAAATTTTAAAATATAACTTTATATTTCAAAATTTAAGCCCTGGCCTTATTCAATTTTTTTTTAAAATATATAAGGCATGATATCACCAGAATCATTTTTTTAAAAAAATAGGCCTGCCAGATTCAAGCCTATAACTTTTTTTTATCATTCTACTAACAAATAAAAAGATTGGTGCTTTATTTGTTGCAAACATTTTTAAATATATGAATTTTCTTTAAAAATTTAAACCCAATCAAAATGTAATTTAAATAATAATAAAATATAACCAAACCCTTCAGATAGTGTAAATAGTATTTCATAAAAAAAATGACTATATTTTATATTATTGTTTAATAATATTATGAGAAAACCTATCTAAAGCTCCTTTAAGATGTTCTGGAGCAACATCAAAATAATAATTTGTATGGTCATCACAAGTATAAGCATTAGAACAACCACTATGCTCATTTAAAAACTATAAAATAATATTCATAAGATATATAAAAATTATAGAATTTACTTTTGAATATTCATTTTCACTAGGATACTATATCATAAAATATAATATAATAAATAATATCTATAAACTGTACCTTTTTTGTTCCCATGAAAAGCATGTGTTCACAAAAATGAGCTAATCCAGGTATAGTTTTTGGATCCTTCAGATTACCTATCATATATGTTTATGTAACTTACTAAATATATTTAATACCTATATGGACATCTAAAGCAGCAGCTGCTTTATCAGCTTCGGGATCACTTATTAATAATACCTTCAACTTATTTTTCAGTTCTAATCCTCTATATGTGCAATTGTCTGTTTCTGACTTTGTTATATTATCTTCAACATATGTAACATAACTTTCTATGTCAGTATTGAGCAGAGATAATCGCCGTTTTTGAGAATTTGTCATATGATTGCTACTTAGAATATTAACATTATGGGTTTTATTTTCTATGTCATTGTTTTTTAGGTCTAAATTTTCTTCCCTATTGTTCATTTTAATTAGATTTTGATTAATTTCATTGCTTTTAGATGACATCTTTATTCTAAATGGGAGTAATTTTTTTAATAGGTTAATTAATATATTAACAAAAATGTGATTTATTGATTACTTAGACCTTGTAATTTAATTTCTCAATGAAAATTTATTAAAAATAATTAAGGATTAATTTTACCTTTTATTCATGCTAATTATATATCATAAAAATTTAAAAAAATTATGTACTTTATAACAGATAAATGAAAAGAAGAATTGAGAATTTTATTGAAATGAATATGATTATATAGCAATAAAGATCGAGTTCTTAGAAAACTGTTCATAAAATTTTCAGAAAGAGGCAATTATGTGACGTCACAAAAAAATCGATAATTCTTCTCATTCGTAGATTTTTCATTGACAATTTTTGACACCGTCTAAAATTTTAAAAATAAGGCTAAATTATTCCTTAATTATATTTTATGTTGATTATAGTGGAGTTGCCAGAATTTTTCCGCTTGTAAATGGGGGGGGGGGGGGGGGGTACAAATTTATTTTTAGGATTTATCTCCGGAAATTTATGATTAAATATTAATATGTAACATCAAAGGCGTAGATAGGATTTTGATAAAGAGGGGTGGTTTTTTGTCTAGTAATGTTGAAATATATTCTAATATAATATTGATACATTATGAATTATTATGTTAGTCAATTAAATGATTATATATATCAGAGACCTGCAGAGGCACCATTTGCACAGCCCGGCCCGGCCCGGTTTTAAATTTTTTAGGCCCGGCCCGGATATTTTTTTAAAAATTTTTTTACGGCCCGGCCCGGATTTAAAGATTTAAGGCCCGGCCCGGATAAATTAAAAAAAAATTTTTTACGGCCCGGCCCGGATATTTTTTTAGAAAAAAATTTCAGGCCCGGTGTAACGTTTTAAAAATACTCCATTTTTTTATATACTCCTTTAAGCTTATTTGTGGAGTATTTTCAGATCATATTGTTAGATTATAATGTATTTACATATCAGAGTATATTTAGATCATTGTAATTTTTATAATGATATTTTTTTGAAAAAGTGCTCATGTCAATCAAGAAACATTATTCTGGAGCTGATGATGCTGAGGCGATTTTTTTGAATTTCCAGTCAAATTTTTTAGGTCGTAAAGGATATTTGCCTCGTTGGCGCCTTTTTTAAACTCCATTTTAAAAAATAAATACAGGTTCATATTCATATATTTTACATTATAAATTTTATTTTATTATAGAAAATAAAAGAAGCTACAAATTTATCATTGATTCAAGAAGCTAAAGATTTATTATTGATTCAAGAAGCTAAAGATTTAAAAATACAGGTTTATATTAATATATTTTACATTATAAATTTTATTTTATTTTAGAAAATAAAAGAATAGATTTATCATTGATTCAAGAAGCTAATCATTGATTCAAGAAGCTAAAGATTTAAAAACAGGTTCATATTAATATATTTTACATTATAAATTTTATTTTATTTTAGAAAATAAAAGAAGCTAAAGATTTATTATTGATTCAAGAAGCTAATCATTGATTCAAGAAGCTAAAGATTTAAAAACAGGTTCATATTAATATATTTTACATTATAAATTTTATTTTATTCTAGAAAATAAAAGAAGGCTAAAGATTTATCATTGATTCAAGAAGCTAAAGATTTATTATTGATTCAAGAAGCTAAAGATTTATCATTGATTCAAGAAGCTAAAGATTTAAAAACAGGTTCATATTAATATATTTTACACTATAGTTTTATATATTTATTTTAATTATGTCATTATATCTTAATACTAAATTTAATTCTATACATGAATTAAACGATGCCATATTTATATATGAAAAAGAATTTTTTTTTAACATAGTTATTAATAAATCAGACTTATTAAAGGAACCTTATAGCAAAGCATTTATAGCTCAATATAAATATAATCGAGTTTATTATATATGTAAATATGGACTGAAGAAAAAATAAGTCTAGAGGTATAAGATCCTCATCTAGTCTTCACAAGGAATGTATTTTTATGTTCACAGTCTTTCTTCAGTGTGATAAACTAAATGTGTATTCTTTAGATATTGTCACATTTGTAAAAGATCATAAAAACCATGATCTAGGTTAGACATATTTATTTGATTTTTAACTAACATGATTTATATAATCAAGATAAAAAACTATATGAGATGCTCTCTAAACAAAGAAGGCTTTCTCCTATAAAAAAACAAATTGTGGAGCAAGCTATCACTTTTAAAGCTAATAAGGTGAAAATACAAGAATATGTTCTTAATTCAGGTCAGATGATGACTCTGAGAGATATTCATAATATTTCAGCCAAATTAAACAAGCCATCTGATAATGTATTACTTGATGTAATAAATCAACTCAGGGAAGATAATGGAGCTGTGGTGGAAATCCTAGAAAATGATAGTGAATTGTTGGGCATTTACTTTCAAGATGCTAGCATGCTCCATTATCTTAAATATTATCCTGAGGTGATATTCATTGATGCTACCTACAAATTAAACAATCTAGGTATGCCACTGTTTATTCTACTTGTAATAGATAGTCATGGACAATCTCAAATTGTCGCTTTATGGCTTGTAAAGGCGGAATCATATTTTTGTGTTAAAAATATGTGCATGATGCTTGGTACCAGATGAAAAAATCGTCTGCGGGAAAATGGCTGATGTTAAATTGTTTTATATTTTTTCTTCAAGATACATTTAAAATATTTGCCTTTAAAATGCCATCTCCGAGAAATAATGGAATGCCATATCTTTATTTGAATGGAAAACAGGCCTATTTAATCTTTTATATTTTATAGATATCAATAAAAATACTTTATCATCATTGGAGGAGACCTTAACATGAAATTATGTAATGAAATCACTAATTCTCTTATTGGTTTTGCTACTTTAAATAATCAACTTTTTATAAACAAGGAAACAATAAATATCACACATACTTCAAACCCTCAAACAAATATACTCCTATAATCCTTAAAAAATATAATATCTCTAATCTTAATTTACCAACCCCAGCAAATAATTTTCTACATAATTTGCAATAATGACTCATGGTTAAACATTTCAAACTCAATTATCAAAACAGCAAATACCCATCTTAATATTAATTATCAATATCTATACATAATGTACACAAATACAAATGTGTTATTTTAATTATTTCTGCTAGCAATATAATTATACATGAATGGGTTTAAATTTAATCGTCAATATGTGTCATTAAATCATCACAACACAAATTCTCATTAAATATTTTCTTTGTTATTTTTTATTTTTCAATATTATTTTTTAGATGCTACAAAAAAAGGTATAGTTTTAAAAAAAATTAATTATATATTTATCAAGATGACACAATTAAATCAGGACAGAAAAAATGTTAATACTTTTAAAAATTTATTAAATAACTTTAAACAGTTCCTAGGTCAAGTGAAAAGTTTCATTCTAGTACCATAAAAGGTATACAATGGATTTTATTATTAAATAATATTCCTTTTTTTAGATGATGATGAAAATTTTCAAGAACCAGCTATTAAAAATCTAAAGCTTATGAAGGGTAATATTTTCATATATTTAATATTAAATCCTTTTTGAAAATATCTAGTTATGAATATACTAAATTCGATAGTTGGAGAGGATTATATTGTATAAACAAAATAGATAATGGAGTTAAGACACCAGAAAAAGCATCGAAAATGCTAGAGCCTGATGACATTCGACCTTTTGGTAACATTTTTAAGATTTGATAAAATCAATTTTTTAATTTAATAGGTGCCCCGCCGGAGAGGACGGGCATGGCTCAAAATGCCGTTTATGGTACAGAGGTGGAGATAGTTGCAATGACAACTATGCTCCAGACAAATATTTTAATACATACTATTTATAAATGGGCATACTATATGCCCATTAAAAAATTAAGTAATATTAAAAAATTTAATGTAAATATTTATTTAATAAATCATAGCAAACATATTGATCGCATAATTAATTTTAATTAATATTTATATCGCATATAGCATATATTATTTATATCGCATTTAGCATATATTATTTATATCGCATATATTATTAATTGATTTTTTTATCTTTATATTTACAAATTAAATAAAGGATTTTAATAAATTATTCTGAAAATTGTTTCTAACTTTGAGCAGTAACGTGATAATAGATAGTAAAAGATTTATATGTTAATCTTTGATATTTTCGAATTAAACCTTAAATAAATATATAAATTTTTAACACTTAATATTAAATCTAATAATTTCTAAAGAGAATAAGGCAAAATTGCCTTAAATATCATAGGACATAGAAAAAATAATATTTATTATTCATACGTCAGTTATAAATGCCAATTCACTAAATTTATTATATTTAATATTTATATGTCAGTCATAAACGTCAATATCACTAAAAATGTAATATTTAATATATGCACGTCAGTCATAAACGTCAATATCACTAAATATAGGAGTATATAAAAAAACGGAGTATTTTTAATTGCCTTAAATATCATAGGTAATATTTATTATTCATACGTCAGTTATAAATGCCAATTGACTAAATTTATTATATTTAATATTTATATGTCAGTCATAAACGTCAATATCACTAAAAATGTAATATTTAATATATGTACGTCAGTCATAAACGTCAATATCACTAAATATTGGAGTATATAAAAAAATGGAGTATTTTTAAAACATTACACCGGCTTGGAATTTTTTAAAATTATATTCGACCTGGTATGTACAAAAATTCACCCATGAGGTATTTTACCATATTTTTCAGCGAGTATTATCGCTTATTATTTAAAAAATACATGAAAAAAGCTAATATTTTGAGAATATTATATTGAATTTATAAAAATTATAAAACTGTTATTTATAAAAATGGATATTTTGAATATTTTTTGCATTTATAAAAATAAAACTAATATTCATAAAAATGGTAATAATATTTTGAATATACTATATTTTATATTGCATTTAAAAAAAATAAAACTAATATTTAATTTATAAAAATGGAAAATATTTTGAGAATATAATATATTGTATTTAATTTACTATTTAATTTACTATTTAATTTACTATTTAATTTATAAAATAAAAATAAATCGCTATTTAAAAAAATGCATGTATAATAAATAGTATTTTGAAAATATAATCTAATTGCACAATATTAATATAATTTATTTTATAATTTTTAAATATTTTATATTACATTTATAGGTTGGTTTTTCAGGTGTAAAAAAAAATTATTAATTTTCATGGATTTACCATCACATTTATGTCTTTTTAGATGTGATGTACCATGTTTATAATTATAAGATAATATACTTGAACAATTCTTACATTGTACGTAGCCAATGTTTTTTTTATATTCATCTATGATGATGTTAAATTTAGCCCATATTTCAGATTTTAAATTATTATTTGTATTTCTAAAAGAATAAATATTATTTTTAATTTTATTAATTATATCATTAGTATTTTGTGCCATGATATTCCTTTATTTGATTGTTTTGGTAAATATTCAAAAAATTTAGATATGAATTATAAAAAATATATATTATTAATACTTGAATATTGGGGCTTATTTAAGATATTCCTTTATTTGATTGTTTTGGTAAAATATGTTGTAAAAATTTAGATATGAATTGCAAAAAAATATATTAATACTTTGTATAAATTTGCAGGAAATTAATAATTAGATCGATCTGTGGGTGTTAGGTGTGTTAACCATCACCCAATATTATATTAATCATAACTATAATATAATATAATCTTATAACCATTAACTCATAATGTAAAAATTTTTATAAAAAATATTAAGGCCCGGCCCGGGTTTAACAATCTTAGGCCCGGCCCGGATATATTTTTAAAAAAATTTTTTAGGCCCGGCCCGGATATATTTAAAAAAAATTTTCTTAGGCCAGGCCCGGCCCGGGTATATTTAAAAAATTTAAAATACGGCCGGGCCGGGCCGGGCCGGGTATAGGGCCGGGCCTGCAGGTCTCTGATATATATATATATTGGTGAGGTTAACTACCTAACACCCATATCATCTATTATAATGTGATATCAGACCCTACCTATTATTCGTATGTGTTATATGGATGAATAAATATTGTGTGCATACAATTATTCTATTTATAATATTGGCGCAGTTATGGGTGTAAATGTAAGTATGAATGGAATCTGATTTATTAAATTGACAAAGACGAGACTGTTATATAAATCTATTGATTGTTTTATGAAAATAAATATGGGGGATGATTGGGAAATATCAGGGTATGTATGAACTATTTTGTAAATGTGATACTTGTTTGAGTATGAATGTATTGGATATTTCATGAAATTAATATTGATAAAGATAAAATTGTGAATCAGAATCAAGTCAATAGAATAAATTATGGATAATTTGCAAAATATAATAAATTTATGTTGATAATAAACTTAATTTGGAAAATATATTAATGGTTCTGAATAGAATCAATTATTATAATTGCTGATAAAGAAAAATTGGTTGATGAATGAATTTTCAAAAGAAAGAAAATAATAAAACAAGTTATTTTTGTTGTAAATGATGATGTTAATGCTGCTTATATTAAATGAAATTGCAGAAGAATGAACACAATACAATTATTAAAATGAGAGTAATAAAATTATGATCATTAAATGATTTGTTTAAATTTGGGGAGTAATTTCATGTTATGAATAATTGTGATGATGATATGAAATTAATTTTGGATAATTGATGACACAGTAACTGGAATATTATGGGAAATAATATTATGAAAACATGGATACTAGTGATATAATGACATTTATATGACAAAAGAACCTAGCTTATTTGGACATTAGGAAAATGGATACTGATAAAGAAACCTGGTTAATTTAGACATAGAGATATAAGGACGTTGGTCTTTCAAATCACGTGACCTATGCACAAACTAATGGGGCATCCGGGAGCTAGGTTATAGCAGAAATTGGGAAAAGACTAATGATTATTTCTTGTACAAAGTAGGGGCGGGCATCTAAGGGTGATAGCGATCTCTTGGCCAGCTCTAAGTTAATAATGATCTAATGAGCCATCCAAGGATGATAGGGATCTCTTGGCCAGCGCGGATAAAAGTGACCTTGTGATTCTAGGATGCTAGCGATCCCTTGTCCAGCTCTAGATAGTACCTCGTGGGCCGTTCAAGCACAATGTCAACTAATTTACAATGAACTCGATAACCATATTCCGGTGTGAGATCTTCGAGATTGATATTCCGGTGAGAGATCAAGCATACAATGATTTGAATAAAGATACTCCGGTGGGAGCTCAAGCATACAGTGGTATCGATAACGATACTCCGGTGTGAGATCAAGCATAAAATAGAATCGATAAGAATAAATGGTGGGATATCTTTCGATAGTGATGCTTCAGTGGAAGATCAATTAACTAGGGAAACAATATCGATACTCTAAAAATGATACTCTAGGCGAGATCAAGAGCACCTAATATTGATGCTTTTTTGAGAGATCAAAATTTTAATAAGAGGGAGAAGAGTGAATTTAAAAAAGGACACGGTAAAGATAAATGGAGACCAAAGACAATGATTTTATAGGAGTAATTTTATGTCTTGGATGCCTCTAGGATTTGTAGGTTTCCTTTCAATTAATGAAGGGGAAATATAGTCATGTAGAAATATAATGTTATATACTATGTATACATTATGAATTATTAAATTCGTCATTTAAATATGGTTATAGTGATTTAATATAATATTGAGCGAGATTAACTACCTACACCCATATTATCGGTTACGATGTGATAATCCGGCCATTTATTTGTATGAGTTATATAGACGAATAAATATTGTGTTTGCAAATACTATTCTATTTATAATAATATATATAATTTGTTGGTGCTGAACTTTACTCAAAGACGTCATTTAACTTTACAATTCGGGGGGGGGGGCTCAACTAAAAAATTTTATGGGATGGGGGTTCACACCCCAAATCTCCATGACCGGTTTACTTTTAATATATTATGCTTTTTAAATTGAAATTTCTGAACTAGTATTCAAAATATCATTTTTTATCATTTATTATGCATAAATATTAATATGTACTAGTAAATATAAATAATGATAGCACAACAATACAAAACATTTGGTAAGCTAAAGGTAATATTTTTTAAAACAAAATATTTATCTATTTAATACAGTATGAAATTAACATAAAAAAGCAAAATATTTGTGATATAGATGATAAAAAAATTATGAAAGTAAAGAATTACAAAAGTGATAAAAAAGATATCCATTTTTTCCCACAATGAGTTGGGCAGGTCCTCCAGAAAAAATCTATATACAGATACAGATTCTTTATAAAAAAATGAATCTTAGATACAGATATTAATCTTTTTCATAATATCAAAAAGATAAAAGATACTTGTATCTTTTACTAAATTAGAGTATCTTAAATATAAGATACTTTTAAATTATCATTACCAATTAAATTAGAATAGTTTATAAAATACAGTTTTTATTATTTATTTGTGAAGAATATAGCATACACATATAAGAATGAATATTTACAATAATTAATAAAATATTTATTAATGAATTAATTATAATAACCAGGCCAGGGATTTTAATATTAGTTTTTGCCAATTAATTGCTTAAACAGGGAAGGGAGAGTAGTATAATGGGAGTTGAAAATTTGCAAATTAGAAAAAAAATTAAATTAAATGATTTATCCTCCACATTCTTTCAATAAGCTTTTGACAGATAAAAAAAGGCCAAGCTTATTGAAAATAAAATAAACCTATGCAATGTAAATTCAGCTATCAACATAGCCTGTTCAAGTGATTCTATGGCCCGCAATAATGATATAACTCTCATGGCCATGCAATCTAAACATCCTCAAGATTTTTCACAAATCATCCTTCTACTATCTATAATCTCATTCCACTAACCAAGATGG